CTGTGACTTCTCAATCTGGAGAAGCAAAGGCTGTAATCCAAGGCTCTTCCGGATGTCACTGTTCCGGACCTTAAAAAATGTTTCCTTATGCTTTGAATCATTCTAGATTCGACTGAATCAGTAAAATTCTGAAATAGCAGCAGATTCATAAATATCAATAATCGTTGTAATTTATTCACCCATTTACTACTTGGGCAGAAAAGAAGCTTTCAACGATGCAATATATGGAAACGATGATCAGTGTCTTTGATGATTACATCAGGAAGCAGCTTTTATCTCTCGGTATCAAAATAGTCAGCGCAATCCTCTGGATACTTGAGTTTTGTTGAACCATCTTCATCTAATTTTGAGTTCTTTGTATAATGTTGGCTTCTTGCATGCATTATCGATTCTTGACAACCTGACAATGAATATATTTCGTAACAGGAATGCAACGCGCATCCATGCGAGAATACACGACCTAATCGTCGTTCATGACAAATGTTTAAAAAGATTGCGGAGATGATAATATACTTTATGTGCCTTTTGTCTGTTATGTAGTTGTAACGTTATGTCAGAGACGAAATCAATACCTTCATAAAAAATGCTAAAGTTGCTCATGCTGATTGTATCATCAATAAAAACATCTGGCGTTGTGGAGAATCAGTTTCTAATAGTCGTTACACTGACTCATCATTTCCGTTCATTTTTCTGCTTCATTACCTGAGAAAATAAGTTTTAATGCACTTCTTCAGTCCACCCTTGATGACCATAGGGTCATCTATTTTTAGCTCAGGAAGTTAGCCTGCTCAACGACACGCTTTTTCGCTATACCGAACCATTTTAAGACATATCTGTCCAAACAAGCAAGTTAAAGAAAATCTGGGATCTGCCGACTTAAGTTCAGTCAGCATCGAAAGGTTAAGAAAACAAGAAGGTGAGCAACGCTTAATATTTAACTGTCAGCCATCAAAACATACCGTTTTACTCTGCAGAAATAGGGAAAAATAAAGACAGCAGTCATCATCAAAGGACATTAAAATGCAACAAATGATAAAATACGACATTCGGTGATATGCGTAGTTCCAAAATCCCTTCCATGGTCATCCGAGCACTTTGGAATGGCCTATGTCCACGACAAAGCGGAAATGACGAATGAACACGCAGATGAGTCACTCTCACTCAAGCGACGACGAGCAATCCATAAAAATTGTCAGTCACCAACAAAGAAATTAGTTTAATAATCGCAAAATGTCAAAAAAAAATTTATCAAAAAACAAAACAATACCAATGAAACGACCCAGATACAGTAATATACAAATTCCTGCATGAGGATGTCATGAACGTGCTACAACAATGCATCGTAACTTTATGGTCCCGTATAGTGGATGTATAGTCAATAGTTAGTATAACATGAAGAAATATCTATCCCGGAAATCAGAATTCCAAACAAATGATATTTCTTACGATTACGTACGAATTACGTCTTAAGACCTAATTTTGGCCTGCTGCAAAGCTGTAATATTTCTGTAGCATTCAATTTAAAAGATTACATTAATATTTTTGCAATATAGCAGGTGGAGCAACAGCGTATAACTGTACAAAGATTGCAGCTACAACGGCCACGAGTTGTTATAATTTATTTTAATATTGTGTATTTTATTTTCGAGAAGCACCATTTTGCTAATTGCAAACCTTTTCTTTTAAGCTAAATACTCATGCCTCTTTTTCTTATGCTGCTCATTTATCATTTGTGGCCTAATGATTCTGCTATTGCACCGATGGAACGATGTCACTTTCAAATAGAATTTGTGCATGAAACCGCTGCCACCATAAAAGTTGAATTCCTTGAAAGTAATTGCCCATAAATATATATTCATGTGACACACTGAAAAGTGGATATCGATTTGAGAAGTGGAGTTTTACAAATTTATCAGTATGCAAAAATAACGCAAGAGCAAAATTTATTTGAAAAGTCTAAATAATTATTGACGACGTCCTCGTTTCACTATGCATTAAGGAATTTTAATGTGGTTTTATTTCGTGCAACTGTCGTTTGAAAATCAGGTTGCCGTACATTATTTCACTTATAATATTTGAGACGTTCCTAAAGACGATTTGCAGTGTTGTTCAGGTGTTTCTATGCATCGCAAATTTTCTGCTCAAATTGTACATGGATCAGAAAAATATTTTGTCCTCTGTCCTGCCAGTGCGTTAGATATCTTCGGATGGACCTTTTTGCCTTGATATTTCTTTGTTTCGTATCTACATTCTATATGGAGATTGATGTAAGAAATGCTTTTCCTGAATCGGAACATTGAGAGAGTTCCTACTGTCATTTCGTTTTAACAAATTGCGTATTTACGGCAAACGTTTACTGAATAACAGTTGAAGGTCTGATCTCTGTGCTGTGTTGGGTATATTGTTTTCTTGATCGAATTCTTGGACACTGTGGAAATACGCTACCTCTTATCCTGATTTCTCGGTGAAAGAAAATTTGATTTGAATTAGATTCATACGAGGGTCATCCTCAAACACATTGACATCTATGACTGTTGGACAATGTGCTAGGCAAAAAAGTTTTTATTTTGGGGTTCTTCTGCAGGTAGGAATTCTGGTAACTGTTTGTGAATACTGTAGGTGATTAGGTGGTAAATAGGTTTTTTATGCAAATAAACATACCACGGTACGTGAGGATCAAATATTTTTTTACTAACGAATAAATGCGTGTTGGTTTTGTTGCGCTACGGAATTTTACCGAGTACGATATATACAGAAATTCTGGATGGTCACGAACTCTCAGGAGCATTTTGCATATATGCAAGGCGCCGAGTTAAAATACCACATGCAAAATGGTGAGCTAATGTTGCCAAATTTTGCTTCCAACAGAGATCTAGAATATTTTAAAACGTGACAAATTTTTCGCCCAGTCATTTGTTAACAGGAGCAGCGCATTGTTCGTCGTTGTGCGCATGCGGAGATCTGACTAAATATATACCTATTGTCAATTTAAAATTTCTTTATTACACCAAAGGAGTCGTTTCTCTTCTTGATGATTTCCTTCAAGGCTACAGTCCCTGCAAATAGTAGGTGGTATTCTATAATTTCTTTTAGTCGCCTTCCTGGCTGTGATTTCACCTTGAACTGGTAGCGCCTATTGGACTAAACTCTGTTTGATAGCAACTTCCGCTTTACATTCCGTTATTCTTCATCCTGCCACATGCATCAGTTTAAAAGTTATGTAGTTAGTACTGATACTTAAGAAATGAAAGACATATGGAAGCTTTACACTGGGTCAAACAGCGTTTCTTGATTTTCGTCGCTTTGAATGATCACTTAAACAGGCCAAGGTTCAATAATGTTTAATCATATGCAGCGCATAAGCTTAATCATGTCAGTAAGTCGAAACACTAACTGGTAAGTGTGACAGGAGTAAGATGTAAAAATTGCAAGGAAGTGTACAGCTTAATCATCCGGTAACACCATAAAATGGTATATAAGGGTATTAGGAGTAGAACTCGTAAGACATGGAAAGCACAAACATTCTGATGAATTCGAGAATCTTTCCGAAGGTATTCGGTCGACCAGGTAACGTATCCGTCGCGAAAACATAAACGCGGTTCTTTGTGCATAAAGATATGAGAAACAAGCGTGCGTTCACACACCGAAGTATATCTGTAAGAATGAATTCGCTAGGACGGAGTAAGCCAGAGTATTTATTTCGGTACATCACCAGGATCACTGCATAGTTTCAATAAACCCAGATAACATCTGACAGCCCGTCCCCGTGCGGAGGTAGACAATTGAAATGTTTATATGAATGAGGCTAGACTATACTACACCTTAGTGGCAACCTCGCTTAAGATAGTACCTGTATGGCACTATTAACCAGGCGTTGGTAATGAGGACGAACGTAGTATTTTTGGCTCTATCTAAAGAAAGGCGCCAAACATAATCTATAATAGAAGCATAAGGCAGGAAGACATCCCAAAGGCTATAATATTGCACTTTTCTTAATGAGGTACAAAACAGTTGAATGAAAAAGGTATGGTCGCTGGCTAAGGAATAAATCTGTACCGTACAGCGGTCAAAACAGACATTCGTATAGGATTAATTAAGTCGCTGAACGACAATTCATGAATGGTTGTACTATTAAGACGGATGCTGCTAACTGGTGTAAACGGTGCATTTTAACGGCAAATCATAGTAAGCTGGAACGAAACAAACATTCCGAAAATGACCATTCAGATGGCTGGGCCTATTTGGCTCAAAGCAATATTCCTTTCTTTCCTCGGTCTATCTCAGCAATGAAAAGCATTACTGATCTTCGGTTCAGGTATGATCAATCTGTCCGCGATGACCCCACTTCACGTCTTTCCGGACACGTTTGTCTCATTCCTGATTATGGTAGCCGACGTTACTATTGACTATTGATCAGTATAGCGTGATCATTTATCAGTACCACGGGTCGAAGATCGGTATGATAGTGTTGATCGTAAACCAATAAATAACTGACATGAAAATAGATGGTGCAACGAAGCGTGCATGTTTTAAGTTTTACTTTATTACGATATTCATGTAATATAACTTAACAATAACTCTGTAGGTAAGTAGATAGGTGGAAACGAGACTGAGACTTCACGCCAAGGGTAAAACAACCGAAAGAAGGACAGACTGCGGTCAAGGAGTGAACGACGACGACCGAAACGAAAGCGACGACCACGAAGACGACTACGCCGATGTACACCATGAGATTCGTGTCCTCCAGCATAAGGTGCGACCGATGTACACGACCGGACGGAAAGATGCGACTGGCGGACAGGACGAACGCGGAGGCGAGTAATGAGGGTTGAAAGCATTCTGTTGAACTGACGGTGCGAGTGGCCAAGGAGCAGCGGCTTTAATGACCCATAAATGGCCGCCGCCGCTGAACAGACGGGTTCGCGTTACTCTAGCTGTAATTCAAGGCACAGCCGACCGGTACGTGGATCCCACGCCACAGTCGTTCGACTGAACCGGCTATCATCACAGAAGACATGGCAAAGAGAAAGAAGCCGCAGGGCCGAGCCGTGCGCTCGGACACTGGATGCCGGACAAGCAAGCAGTGGCCGAGCTGACCACATGCGAAGAGAACCGTACAAACAGTAGAAGTAGAGGAAGCAGGTTACAGCAGGTTGCGGAGGACCGAATTCGTTGTGACCACCACGACATCAGCGGAGGCTCTTCTGCGCAAGCAATCGGACGTCGTCACGGACACTGAAAAACGTCGTTGTTTAGCCGCCACTTGAAAATCAGTAGTGCGCTAAAGCACCGTAATAATGAACCATCAATGGTCGTCAATCAAACACAATTAACCGTCACTCCTCTATTCAAACCTTGCTGATGTCCACATGAGAATCATAGTAAAGTCACTATGATGAGAAATTAAATATTTCGGCTAGAGTGGTTACGAGTAAGACGTTGTTTTGTTTCCTTGTGACGACAGCAACCTGCAATTAAGTGAATTTTCATGCACATAATGAACAGCATCACTTTAAAAGACCATGATCATGGTAAGACCATAATCGTCCCGAAAAATTCCTGCTTTGAATACAATTGATGTAATGCCCGTGCAGGGCAAGCGACCATTCGACTTGACTACTACAAAATCGAACGGTCGCTGTAAAGACAATACGAAATACGCTCGTCGAAAACACATCTAACGACTGTCATACGGGCAAAAAAACAAGTCCGTCGGACAATGCTCATCATTTGCCTGGCGAGCGTCGATGGCATTATCTATACCAGACCAACAGCGTAAATGACAGCCTGCTGATCCAGTATATAAAATTCATGAACACTCACGGCGGAATACAAAGCGCGCCTTGAAAAACATCGATTTCCTAACACCCACCTCCTAGCAGTCTTATTAAGAACGTGATCGCCCTCAAAGTTGGCCATGCATCTATTAATGCTGTACTCTCTCTAACTTACACTGCTGCATTTGGTATTAAACTTTTTTAAGATCAATCAAGTAGACATAAACCTCCTTCGCATATTGCCAAAATTTTTCACGGACCCAACGGAAAGCAAAGATTCGGCCAATGCTGTTGCGACGGGATAAAAGCCGTACTGTTCGTCCTGAATCTTGTGCTCTATCAGTTCTCGGCATCTTCTTTCCAAGAACTCTGCGTACAGAGTATGCAGCTGATGCACTGCTGCTCATCTCATATTCGAAAATGTGGATGAACACGCTGGAGGTTTAATGTGGTGCTATTCCACATCTGTTAGAGTCCTCAGCTGGGTACACGAGTCAGGCGTAGAAGATCATCGCAATTCAAGGTTTAAAAAATGCCTGTAAACGTGATAAATTTATTACAGCTTTTAATCGCTTACAAAGTGATCAGCTAAATCACCGGGGAAACAACTGAGGAGGCATGATCAAAACAAAACAGACACACAAAAGAAGAAGTACATGAATGAAACAGCGACGAGGTTGCCGAAGCAGCACGTGCATGAGTATAGTGAGTAGTAAAAAATCACAGTCAGATGAAAAATGGCACGGCAACTAAAGAATTTACATGTACAACAAACAACAAGAAGAAGAACAGCGGTGCCGACAAACGAAGCAGAAAGACGAAAGCAGCAACTACGTGTTCTGTAAACCGAACACTCGGAACAAACGCGAACCGATGCTGCCATGCGACGACGAGGACGATGACGGGTTGTGAGTGGCGGCGGCCGACGGCGAGCCGTGGTTCAGGTTCGGACTGGGACCGAGAAGCGGCTGTTCGACGTCGTTCGTCGAGCTGAGGTGAGCGGGCGTGCTGTGCGAGCAGTGGAAACTGGCCACAGAAAGCGACGACGACCTCGAAGAAGCGTCAGAGCAGCCACCACCGGCGGCTGAACACCGGCAGGCCGCCGCTGCATCGCGGGCACCCGACGTCCGCTGCGACGACGACCAATCCGGTGGCACGTCAACATCATGCTGCACATAAAGCAAACGACACGTTTAAGAAGAAACGAAATCGCACGACCGTAAAGAAAGCAAGTCACCAAGCTAGCAGTTTACTGCAAAATTGGAAAATGAAAATGATGGCGACAAGAACGACTGAGCATCTCTGGCTTAAGTGACACAAGACATCTCATCTCATCCATCGACCCATCAAAGGTCGTCGCTGAATTCGTCACGAATGCGCTGACCGCTTAACAGCCGAAAGATTGAACAAACGAAGGGCACACACAACGCGTAACAAACGATGCGAACGACGTCAATTCAAAAAACTACCTCCGACAGGGGCTTCGAATAATCGCAGTTGTTCGACGTGCTCTTCGCATCGGAGCGTCTCTTCTGGTCATCGATGGACATCGTCGACGCCAGCATCTCGGAACCGATCAGCTGGGCAACCTTCGCTTGTCGAACCGCGTCGAACGACTTAACAAACAAACAGCAGCATTACAGCAGCGGGGGAAGAAAGTCGAACAAAGGTGACAACGAACAGCGGCACATCTTGTCAGGCAATTACTACTCCCTTGCCTCATCCGCAAAACGAACATCCATACAACGATGCACGAGAGGACACGAGTGAGGATTAAATATCCCTTTAACGCCGCATAAGAACAAACCGAAGACGAAGAAGGATGGCAATAAAAAAAATGTGGAGGGTAATCAGAAGGAAAACAAGAAAATATGAGCGATGAAAAAAACAATAAACAAGTATAGTACAACGCAAAGTGAAAAAGAGGAGAAAATATAAGATGGAGTAAAATAAACAGAGAAAAACAAATACTGTTCAGAAGCACCAGGAGATAGAATAAAGAAGGTCAAGAATAAAGGAGACGGCTAAAAGTAAGGCAAAGCAAAGGCAAATAAACAGAAAGAAAAGAAGATAAGAAGACAACGAGATGGGGAAAGTATGAGGACGAAAACAGGTCATGAACGTAAATAGAAAAAAAACAAGAACAAGCTGCAAAAGAAAGAGAAATAGAAAATGCGGAAGAAACTCTGGCAGAAAAGGAAATCAGGCGCTGGATTAAAAGATATAAGGTGCAAAAGAGACAAACTATAAAACTGTAAATATACATCAGGAAACAGCGCGACGAAAAACATAGGAAAGAAGAGGAAGAAATCACTGGTGAAAAAGGAAAGAAACGGGAAAAGATAAAGGAAGAGGAGAAAAATAGTGAGGGGCAACGAAAACAAGTAGGACAAAAGAAGGGTAGTGATAAAAGCAAACGAAAAACAAAAAGAAAAGAAAAAAATTAAAATCAGAAACGTAAAAGCAAGAAAACTAAGGACTGCGAAATAAAATTTTAACCTACAGAAGAAGAAAAAACAACCTTCTGCTAAGGTAGGTGGTAGGTAATTTAGATAGCGAAAGTCAATGTTTCAGTCAAGGTGAGTCTAACGAAACTTTTGGATGCGCACAACTCTCAGAACTGGCTGGAGGATATGTCGGTACAGAAGAGATGTATCAAGAACCGGACGATAAAACAGGAACAAACTATAGATTCCATCTTATATCCGGAAAAGAACAGATAACAATAACAACTCTTCAAGAAAAAAGTCCTTTAAGACTGTAGCTATAGAAAAGATGTACGGAGAAAATTGCGTAGAGTTTTTTCAGACATGATTTTGTGCGTAGTACAACAGAATCTGAGGATCTTCTGTCATGAACACTTGTTAGTCAAAACAATGATATTACACTGAAATGAATTTTCGAAGATATCTATGCCAAAGAATACGACATATGATTTTCTAGACGACGACAAAACGAACTGTAACAACACGATTATACTGAGGACTTAGTATGTGCAGGGTAAACGATGAAAACTCAGTACCCTCGCTGAAATGCTGCCAATGACGCAACAGTGACATATGGTAAACACAAATTAGGCTCGCAGTGCGCAATGAAGAAAAGCACAAAGATTTGTGACAACTAGCAAAACGGCAGACAACAAAGATATACCTGCTTCTTAGCCCGCAGAGCGGCATCCTCCAGAGTCTCGGCAGCCTCGTACTTGCCCTGTCGTCGATACAAGGCGCCGAGATTCTTCAACGTGGTGGTTACGGTCGGGCTAAAATCGCAAATCGCTATAAGGAACGTGGTCGGCGGCCACCACCAATACTATGGACAACACCTGTCGACTCTGGCCGCCTTGTGCCAGCCGCCGTACTCGGCGTACGGCGCGCTTTCGCGGTTTGCGTACTTGTTCTCCTCGCGCTCCTCGGCCACTTGCCAGATCGGCTTGTTCTCGCCAGAGATGGCGCCGAATTCGCGTTCGTGCGCCCTTGTCAAAATCTGCTTGTACAACACCTCGGCCTCTTTGTATTTGCCTTGTTTCAGGTATGCCGAAGCCTAGAACGCGGTCGGTTAGTCAGTCAGGAAACCATGCACGCAACAATACCAGGTTGTTTTTGGTCTTGGCAACGTTTGGGTCATCCGGTCCGAGCTTTGTCTCATAAATGCTCAGAGCGCGCATGTAGTACTTCTCCACCTCCTCGTACTTGCCCTGGTTTTGACACAACAGCGCCAGATTGTTCAGCTGCTTGGCGACGTCCGGGTGTTCCGATCCGAGCACCTTCAAGCGCAAAAAAATTTAGTTTACTTTACAACAGTTAAGTCGTACCTTCTCGCGAATCTCGAGTGCTCGCTTACAAAGAGGCTCGGCCTCTTTGTACTTTCCTCGTTTTCCGTATAACACGGCCAAGTTGTTCAACGTAGCTGCCACGGCGGGGTGGTTTTCTCCCAGCGTTTTTTCCCGTATTTGCAATGCTTCGTTTAACAGGTTCGCTGCTTCTTTATATTTATTTTGGTCTCTGGAAACGAAGAAACGTTCAGCTTTAAATGAACAAGCATAAACATAGAAAAACATACTATAAAACATCAAAAAATCAAAATACATTTAGGAACAACTTAAGGAAAAAAGGATCTGCAACGTGGTTGCGCATGCAACATTCCGGTAGTTCTAGCAGAAATATATTTATATATTGGATATACAATTGGACATTCCAATCATAACGATTAAATGGCAACAATTGAAAACGAACGAAGATTATGGAGAACGAACGAAGGCAAACTGATTTCAAAAAACAGATCACAGGATCGTGAAGTTCTGGCCATAATCAAAAACTGGCAAACTTCTCAATGAGTTGCAAGCGACACTGAAGACTAATCACCGCTGATGATAGCAGATCCACACAAAATGTGGCAAGCAAGAAGAAACATCAACGATAAACGCGAAGAACCGCGACAGTCAATATGTAATGATACCTGATACCGTGAATGCGCTGATGTTGTACAAAATCCTTCTTCTCGTTCAACGGTAAACTTCGTCTACGAAAAAGGAACGGGGTGTGTTCTATGTTCCACTTATCGAGAAAAGGAGTAAGGAACTTATTGATGGTTGGGCTCAAAAACCGCCTCAAGATCTACCCCTACACATGGAACTTCAGGGTAATGGTACCTAAACATAACTGAACAGATCAATGGGTGATGAACTGGGTTGAATATTCAACACCGTTTCAGGTACTGAAGTACAGGTCAGCAGAGATGATCCGGCATATCGCTTTCTCTGTTTTGCATACAGATGAATAGCGCGAACGCTGGAGTCATGAATGTCAGTTAGTTCTGCGTCTGATACCAGCGTTCACTGGTCAGTCATCAAAAAGGTTAGTTGGTTAGTACATAGGAAATATAGTTGATAGGCGTATTGAACTTGAGCTAGCGATATTGATCTAAGCATATACCGGTGTACATATGTCTGTTTTTCCTTCCTTCCCCCTGATTGCTTTTAAATGTTTATTTGCATCCGCAAAAGCAGCTATAAGCCGCCAGGGTTGTCTTCAATCAGGTCAAATGGCCAAATAGGTAAAAGGATGAATTATGATTTTCTTCCATCGTCATAGAAATGCCCCTACGAAGAGACAACGAAAAAATGCACGAATGGTATGTGATGATGGAACTGACCCGGAAGGGGGCCGAAGTTTAAAACAGTTTTTAAACACACGAAGTTAGACAACGGCTGAGAGCGAAACGCACCTGTACACTAAAGCCAAGATATTCAGCATGGTCGCAACGTCGGGATGATTATGACCGCTGGTCTTCTCAAGGTCTTCCAACGCTTGCTTGCACAGCGGAACGGCAACTTCGTAACGACCTTGCGATGCGTACTGGATGACCTACGAGAGGAAAGTGCAATGAGTGGTCAACGTTTAATCGCAAGAACATAGAAGGAACGAAACTGAAGTCGTACCAGGTTATGGAGTGTCCGAAGTCTGGCAGGAATCTCGTAACCGGCAGTCGCTGACGCTGCCATGGAATGGGCTGGGGTGGGGTTCGGGTATTCGGAGCTGGTTTCGTTATCTTCGTCTTCGGGACCGAACCCCAAGTCCTGAAGCGACTGACTCGACTTGGACATGTCATCGATTTTGTCTTCGTTGTCCTAAGAAATAAAATGTGAAAACACGGTTAAATTTGCAAAATTTGATTTGTGATAGTTACCCAGGTTCAAGATTAGGCTTTGGCTCAGGCTGTAACGCAATTAAAATTTATAGCTTACCGGTGTGGACAGAACAACAAAACAATTTAAATGAGTAGTCGGCACGGAATGAATTGTAAATGAGTTTATTCATGTGCGTGTTTATGTTGTGTGTGAAACAAACCCGACCTCGTACAAATGTAAACCTCTGGAAACTTAATCAGAAGAGCAGCGAAAAAAACGCGACTGCAAAGAATTGAACAGAAATAAGCCAGAACTAAGGAAGTAACATGAAGGTTGCAATCATGAACGTGGGTAAAAATTCCAAGAGTCCAAGACTTCATGACATTATTGAATTTTATGAGGTACGAGGGAGTATGTCTACACCAAGCAAGGCGACTGTTTTCGATATATGAGACGAAACTCAAACGACTCAGGCCAATAAGGCAGTGGTAACCAAGGGATGACGCTTCATCTGAATCGTCCCAGAGCGTTAAATAGCACTGGTCTAACAGAAGGACAGTCTGTTTAAAATGACTTTAGGTGATAAATAGGGAACCATGAGGTATCATACAATTAATGAACGACTGGTTTCGCTAAGACAATAAATGTGCTGTCCTAAGACGAGCAACAGTGCGCATCAAAATATAATTACAGTAACGTTTCAGAATGTCAAAAAAATTAATCTAGCAAGTAGACAGGGGTCAGAGACAAACAAAAGATCCTCAGGTTATTAAAGCGGAACGTGGAAAAACATTCCGATACCGTAAAACATGTGTGATCAGCACATCGTATCATGGAACAAGATGAATGGCGTGGCGCGGGAAAAGCAACAACTTTCCCGTAAAATGAAGCAAGCGCCACTAATCCTCCCAACCAGCTGCATCGGTCACGACTTTGGCGCAGATGTCAGCCGTGCCATCAATATCCAATGGGTATACCTCACCTGGACGAAAACAGCGCCGTTCACTTCAAAAAAAACTTTCCAGTTTTTCAGAAGACGGACCGAGGTTGGTCCGAAAGGTCAGTATATTTCCATAATCATTATGACCAAAGCTTTCAAGTGCTGTTATACTGTTTATTACGTGCCCAAACACAACGACATAATACTTAATGCGTAAAAATAACAAATATATAATTGCATATTCTAGTAATAGGACGGTTAAGACTAATATACGTTATATAACTGCATAATTATAACGGTTAGTGGTCCGACCTATTTTCCAAATTCAGAGGGCCGACGATGACTAAAGAAAGTACCAAAGGATAACAAAACTGAAAGACGTCTGATTACGTACGAGCTGACCACTCTTGAACGGATGGGGAAAAACGAAGAATTTCCATCACCATCAAAGCAATCGACTAAGTGTCATGGCAATCCGGCCATATGTTTTTAAAACAGCTAGTGGCTGGAGGATCACAAACAGGATAAACTGCAGCGAGGAAGCACTGTTCACGTTAATCCTGAAAAAATATGAGACCTTATCGTCATGCAGCATATGCAGAGACAAACGAATAGAAAACGAAGAGAAAAAAACAGAATAAGAAGTAGGTCAGGATAAGGAGGAAGAATACGAAAATGAAAGTAAAACAGAAAACATCAGTAAAAAGACGAGGAAGAACAAAGAAAAATCTACATGCGAAAAAATGGAGGTAGAAAAAAACGGCCAGAGAAGCAGCAAATTACATCTCTCGCACTACTTGAACGGTCAAGAGCTGATAAATCCATCACTATCTGCCTCCTGAAACAAGGATGACATTTGTTATTCATAATTTATACTGTTACAGAAAAATACGATCGCCAATAAGCGTGAAATAACGATGCGTATATTTTTTTGCTTTTAAGTATTATGTTTCATACATACTTGGTCAGTTTGTTTTAAATGCCTTTGATCATACCTTTTGGTTTCTTAAATTTTTAGAGTACAAGCATCACATTCGTCATAGAAATAATGTGTAATAGGAAAGAAAACGAAAAGTTGGTTAACGTTGGAATGTCAGTCTACATTAAATTCACGATTAGGCCATTTTGTCTACCTTCTTTTCATGAAGTTGAGGATGCGCTGCCGATATCTGTTTCCATGCCAACAGTCAAGAGTGTGGAAACATATGGCAAGCGTCGTGTGTAGCCCTTTGTTTCCTTCCCACAGAGTGGGACTTATTCATCAACCTTTGAAGGAAAAAAGGCGAATATTTATCAGCTGATGCTGTTGTGGGCCCATGCACTGTCATTCGTAAAATACTATGGAGCCGTGGGCTTTTTAAATAGTACCCTGTGCTACTAAGAAAAAGGGGACGGTGCGTTGCGGCGTGTAAATCAGGTGAAGTGACAGAAGAATGTTACAGTACAATATAGCTTTGTGCAGGTTTTCTAGTTTTATGGAGAGCAGTACAATCATGTACCGCTTGAAGCACTGGAAAGTCGGTATTATGTATTTATTTAGTAATAGTTTAGTGTCAGTTTTATTGTCTAGTTTTAATATACAGTGCACAATGCAGTACACAGTACAGATGCATATTACAGTTTCTAAGGGGTGCCAATATGTTTTGACCAAATTTTGGTTCCCATTTTTTACGTTTTGCAAGCATATTAGAAACTAAACATCGTACCGTCTGCCCAACGTCGTACTGCTTCATGCTGTTCATGAACTCAAGTTGCTTCTTTTCTTCCTCGAGCTGTGCAACGCTCTGTTCACTGTGCTGCAATCTTTGCTGCGTGGTGGCCAACTCGTCCCTCAGCCACGCGTTTTCCTGGCACAGTCTGCGCACCTGCGCCTTAAGTTTCTGCTTCTCCGCCTCAACGTACTGTAAGTGA